TGGAGTTATTTGGCTGGGTATTATAGTTTCTGAGCAATAAAATGAGAAATAATAGAAAGCTTCTTGAAAGATAGCTTTTTCTTTATTACTATTCTTCCATTATACCTGCAAGATAGCACTTTTCTATTCTAGGCTACCATCTCATGCTCAGTTCATGTGGATTATGGTGAAGCCTCGTGCAATGAAGATACTCTAAATACTGTGTTTAAAGAAATTTTATTAGGTTCGCTGAAATGGAAGAATGAAAATCTCTCCTTTTTCAACCTTTAGTGAAAAAGCATCAACTATTCAAAGTTATTCAAATGGAGAGGTATATTTAATTTAGGGCAAGTGCACTCTGACTTCCTGCTATGGATAAGAATTTGTGGTGAATGGCAGAAGACAATAGTGATCCTGATTTGCACTTGTTTCCTTTCTGGTTCATGTGCAAAAGTATTCAGCAACAAATTATATAACTTCAGGCAAAAAGTATTTGGATTCAAATTACAACCCATCAGATTTCAACTTTTCAAATACAACTTTTGACCATGTGACTACCTATTAACAATATTTCTCAGGATTATGAGCTAACAGGTGTAATTGGAATAAGTGAATACTAAAAACTCTTAGTCCTATACTATACACAATGAGATACAATATAGTATTGTACATGTGAAACAGTTGTTACATGTATGCAGAGCCCCTTCCATGCATACAGTCTGTCTCCTGGAAGGCACTGACTGCTTTCAGACTATTCCTGGAACTATCTTGAACTTCTGCTTTCTCTTGTAGCAATTGTCAAGTGAAAAATTACATTTTACAGCTCGATTGCATCATGTTTCCAATAGTACTTCACAAAAACATATTAATTGTATCACATAAGATAACTTTATATAACTGAATTCCTGAAAGTAAATAAAATTAAAATATATCATAAAATGTATAAACAGTTAATTTCATTTCCTGCAAATATTCAATGCAACCTACTTTGAAATTTGCATATTACCCAATAAATGTAAGGCTGTTTGTAGTATGTAATCATTAAAGGAGCATGAACATTGCTACAGTGCACATATTTTAAAAGGTGGGGAAAAAAATTAAAGTCCATAAACTTAAATAGCAAATGCTGCTGTTCCCCAATGTAGCCAACGCATCTCTGGAAGTTACATCCATTAACTGCTGGAAACTTTTACGTTGTGCATGCTAAGCTATAGGCTAGACTGAAAACTAAAAAAAAAAAGACTTGGAAGAATATAATGGCAAACCACTTCCATAACATTATTCCCCCCCCCCGCTACCAAAAAAAAAAAATACATGGATGTGCCTATGATATCACCCGGAGCAGACTTCAACTCAGAAGAGACTTTATCTTTACCTACAGCAAGCTAATTTGTCATACAAAACTCATTTAGTAGAACATTCCTTAAAAATTAAAAAACCTTTCCCATAGAGTACCCTTATGGGAAAGCAAATGAAATTGATTGGAAGAATTGGAGGCACACACACAAAAATTGCACAGTGTGATCTACTAATCAACTGTCTTTTGTAGCACTATGCTACACTAATGAATCTGTTTCCCACTGCCTGTCATAGCCATGTATACCAGAGTTTTAGATACCTAACAACTTTGAACATTACTGTGAGTGATGAAAGCTGTTGACAAGAGCTTCAAGCCTCAGATAATACTGCTGTCTGGAAGCTTATACAACTATTCCACTGAATCTCAAATACTGTTAGTTGTTAGGCCATATAGAGAGAGCAAAATTTAAGTAGTGCTGAGATGCTCTTCTCCAGACTTGCTAAACAGTAATTTCACTTAAATTAGTGGCATCATGTTTATACAGTAGTATAAAAAGAAAATATGATTCTAAGGTATTTTTGGCAAATACAAAAACTATTTTTGTTTGTTGGAAGAGGCAAAGCCCATAAGTCAACAATACAAACACACTATGTCAATTTATAACTTTTTTTTTTAATCAAAGCAAAAACTACAGTTAAGGCCCAACAAAAGTTCTGGTGAAATAAGCCTTTATATGGAATTGATACTCATTAGTTAAAAATATTGAGCAATAACAATCTTAAGTACCTTTTTCTCCTCTCTGGCATTTCTTTTTTTGTACAACACATTTTCTTGTTTCACTTGTATGTGGGCATAATTTGCCTTTTGTTGAAGGAAGTTGTAGGATTTCTCTGACCCTTGTTTCATTTCCCCTTTTGAAACCACATGTTTTTCCTTTCCTTGTGCAAGGACTCCACTGGCTCCATTCATTAATTTTACAATGCACTGTAACAAAAACATGAAACAAATAAATCTGGGCCAATAGCCTACGAAGTATAGCCTTTTCATTGCACATCACGTATTTAGTCTGTAAATGAAAAATAGATCCAGGAAGAAAATCTCTCTTTAAATTTGAATCTTGCATCATCTTAAATGACTCCTTCTCAAGGACCTTTTTTCATTTGCTCAAATATGGCTGCAATTCTTATTTGTTCAAAATTAAGGTCATTTTCCCACTAGTGACATGTAGCCTCTTTATAGCATCACCCAGCCGTCATTGAAGTAATATAAAATCCTTCAGTCCTTATTACTGTTATTTAGCACAATAAAGGGCCTTACAGACCCTAAAAGGTGCTATTGGTCAGGGTTTTTGAAACACAAAAAAAACCCTTGAACACAACCAGTTTTCTGTCACTAGAGCTTTGTCTCTTGATCAGAAATTCCAGGAAGTTTTTTTTAGCTAACAAGTTCTGAGGCCTGAAAAAGTTTGAAAACTGCTGTTCTATGTTACTAATGCGGAAATGGCCTAAAGATAATTTCATTGTCTTGTAAGAAATTGCATTGTGATTTTTGGAACTTTTCTAGATGCTGGGCAGTGAAAAAGCAGTACAATAAGTGGGATGAATAACATAATAATTGTGATAATGACTATATCATTGCATTGTACCAGCAATGAGGCCCCTTAATTCCACTAAAAATGGGTCCTGCACCAAGAAACTCTATGCTGAAAATAATAGCATATACAAAACAACTCCTGGCATGGATATGGTAAGGAGGAAACTTGAGCAGAATATTTTTGGGCAAATAATGCTTCCTATGGTTTTCAGTGGTTTTTCTACTTCACACCTTCTGAAGTTCAAAGGTCTAAATTATAAAGAGAAGGAGCTTTTATTTTAGCTTTTCTGCTAACCCTAAGCTCTGTAAAACTTTACAGAGAGCCAACAGTAGCAAAACAGTATCCACCTGGAAAGGTTTATTGAGTAAAGTTCTTAGCATAAACAATTTACTTACCAATATCATTGCATTCCATAGTGTGATTGTTGGATTCCAGCCAGTCAGGGCAGTTTTCAAGGCACTTTCCAAGGTGTAAGTAAAATCCATTTTTACACTTCGTGCAGAAATTTTTATTGAAGCAGGCTTCACAGTCAGCTTTACATTCTGAAGTACAAGAAATAATCAGTCACTTCCTGATCATATTCATCCCCCTACATAATGTATATGATTTACATATAAAATGACTGTGAGACATGGTTTCTACAATAGGGATTGTTGTAGGAGGCGAACATTGTTAGTCTATGGTAGCCAAAAATCAGCTTATCCCTTTTAATAAAATTTTATGATACTCTTATCAACTGCACACATGGCTTTTCTCTAAAACTTGGGTGCATAAAGACATAATTGTTTGAGTGATCAAACATCTTTGGAAGTATACATTATCCCAATATATCCCAAGCTCTGGGAATACCAGGCTTGCATTTTGCCTCAGACTATAAATAGCACTGTTTGGCTAGTAATTGTAATAGTTGTCCTTCCATCTATTTGCATAATAATTTTCTATATTTTTAAAGTGAACTCTCCTATAAAATTACAACAACGATGATGTTCCATGGAAAGAAGTGTCACACTGTGGTTCATAAATGTATTTAAAAAGGCGTTACTATAATTTGAGGAGGAACAGACAGACAACATACTAATGTGAGTAAATACAGGGAAGGAGAGATAATTGAATTTCATTCTCTGGGAAGAAGATGCCATGCAAGAATGACACACGCATGCAGGAAGTGTCCCACATTTGTGTTGTTTTGTAAGGGTAATATTTTAATATTTTATGAACCACATGTATTTGTAAATCACCACGAGCTGTACGGAGTCGACAATCTATAAATACTTTAAATAAATAAAATACGAAGATAAAATTAATCCTGTGTCAAGATATATCTGCATACCCTTAATTGTAAAACCCATCTTGTATCTTGGGATTTATTATAAGCAACAGTATCAACTGCAGTGATGACTGGAGATGTCGATCTGAATAGATATCTGAGTCTAGTGGAGTGGGTGGCCATAATAAATTGTGCCATAATAACAATAATAATAGCTTTGTAACATGGTATTTTAGTTTCAGTTTCTAATTAATCCTTGAGGCATAGTTATTGCTGTCATCATGACTTCCCTTAAAGAGACATAGTATTCAATGTGAAAATGTTGAATAAATCAGGTTACAATACTTAAATTGTGACAAATATATAAGAAACTTATAGAGGTGAGCTCAAATGAGCATTTGTATCTGCTATTATTATCTGAACAATTTACCAGTAACTGTCATGGTTTTTTGTGATTTCAAAATGCAAAGCTTTTCAAATATTAAACTAGCTTTAGAAAACGATTGTTGCAACATTCTATCAACTTACTTATACACTCATTTCGTTCTGGGGATCGTTGTCCAAAATACCCAGGAGGACAGGATGAAAGACACACCCCAATCTGTTTCATGCGAATCCTCTCCAGAAAAAAGAAGAGTCTAGGTTTACATGACATGCATCCATTGTATTCAGAACATGTTGCACATCCTCCTTGACAAGCTTGGCTCATATTGCGATGCACTAAGAAGAAAAATCACAAAAATATAATTAGCTGAAGTACTATAATTTTTATCTATATAGCCTACTGAACAGTTCAAAATATTCAGTACATAGCTGTTTTAAATGCCCTGTATGGTAGAAAAATAGACTGAAATAACAATAACAATTTATTTACTGTTATTAGTAAGTTTAACACAATGAATTTTAATGTCCCTAGGAAAGAAGAAAGATAACAAAAATGCAGGTATTTTGGTCCTAAGTTTGTATTTGAAAGGAATTTTGTACTGTGCATAATGGAGCTTTTAATTGCAGTACATGTACAGTATATAAGATTGCAGCTTCAATGGTATACAGCAAATATGCATATTATTCATAAATAAGTAAAAGTAACTTCTACTGCATTGTAAGACTACAGACTTAATTTTATGTTTAACTTGGTTCCAGGAAATCTTTAAGCTATTTGAAACATTTTCTAATTAGCAGCAGTTTAATATCCCTGAAAGACAAGTTACTTTAACATTGCTATCAGACTTCCCCTGATGATACAGGAAAACCTAGAAAAGATGATTTTAGGTTGCAGCTGTAATTCATATGGAATAATGGCCCAACAAGCATATGGAAAGGAATAAAAAGGCATAGTATAGAAATGGGCTTCATCTGCATTGGTACTATTATATGAATATTAATGATTTAGGTGTTTCTAAATCATAGTCATCGTAGTCTATGTCTATTCTATTTTGTGCCTTCAAGTCACCATTGACTCCTGGAGACTGCCTGGACTAATCCCTGAAGTTTTCTTGGCAAAGTTTTTCAGAAGTGGTTTGCCCTTTCCTTCTTCCTAGGGCGGAGAGAGAGAGTGACTGGCCCAAGATCACCTAGCTGGCTTTATGCCTAAGGTGGGACCAGAATTCATGGCTGCCGCTACCTAGCCTTGTGCCTTAACCACTAACACCATGTACCTTTTTTTTTTTTTTTTTGCATTTTGCCTTTGTGTTCAGATTATTATAATAGCAACTAAGTCCTTGAAAGTAGAAGGTAAATGCTCTGCTTTATTATAACCTTGATTGGGATTATGCATTCAGCTTTAAAAGAATTCTTGTTCAGTAAATCATCAGAAGCCATGGCAGGGAAATGGAGGTAAATGGAGAAAAATCAGTAAGGACTTCTTGAGTTCTCTGTGCTGCATAAGCACTCAATCACTACCAGTAAGATATAAAAATGAAAATATTCATAGTATTTTCAGTTACCTTAATTTATTATCTTTTGTTGAAGTAGCACAACAAAAATATGGAAGGACTCTGATATCTATTTCAGTAACTGTATATTTATACTTTCTAAATTTATGTTTCTCCAGGATCTTAATAGCAGAAAAAACAGAATGAACCTCATACTTATCCACATGCACCATCAGTTTTCAGTTTTCTCCTACTTTTAAGTGGAAAATACATGGGAAATGTAGTTTTAGCATAAAATAGAGCTGACGCAACTTTTAAAGATCAAATAAAACTGCCAGCCATTACACACACACTCTCACACTTGCAGACTAAAAAAAAACCTTAAAAAAATTCACCCTGTATGTGTGGAAGGTGCAGCCCCGTCCTCATTTTATAACTGTCCTACTAAAGTAACCCTAATCTTTCTTGCCCCATAATATTCATTAAATATAATCACCAAAAGTTGCCTCTTCTATTTCAATGTGATCAATGAAATGGATGTTTCATGAAAGGCACACTTGTATCTCTCTGAGACTATATGTGGTTATTCGTCCAGAACATTTTTATCTTTCATTATAACACATTGAAAAAGAAGAAGAAAAAAAAATGTTTTTAAAACGTTTGACTGGTTTTAGTCCAGACTTGAAACATGTTTCTGAATGCATTTAAGAGCAGGTTTTTGAGACTTGACATGAATACTTTGGCATCAGTTAAAGAAAAGTGCAAGAGTCAATATGCCATTACATAGATAATTTAATCAATTATACATTCTAAAGATTACATTGTTGCACACTGACTTACTTCATACCACAGACTTCAGGTGCTTCACAGTCCTGATCCTATACTACATGGTTCCTTCCATCCACAACTGTATCTTGGTTTCAGCCCAACAAGTTTAGCATTATACTGTAACATTGGCTTTATGACATATGGACTTATTTATTGCCATTAACAAGGACTATCTCAAAAATGGTTAGGGCTACCAAGTATGAAACAACTATCTTTTAAAAAATTGTCTTCACAACAGGTGAAATGAAAGTATAAATGTCATACCAGGAGATAGAATAAAGTTTGTTCCTTGTAGTTTTACCCTTTTATGACTAAACAGACTGTTGATTTAATTTTCAGAAGGCCTGGTTTTCATTCACACACGTGTACACTAAGCTATACAAAAGCTGTTTCTTTCTGGTGTTATCCCATGTGGCTCTGGTAACATATTTGAATATCGCAGCTATAAATAATTGTAGCATATTTCCCTACTCAGGCAATTCCTCACCATGAGATTAGATTAGGAGATTAGAAATCTTCCCATTGGTTCTACCTGTGTAAGGAACCATATGGAGTTTAGTGTCATTCAATTCTGTCTTCTATGGAAAACTCTTTTGAAAACTTAGAGTATACAGTAACTCTCTATTTTTTTTTTTTTTGGTTCAAACTTTTGAATTATAGAGTAAATATGAAGAAACATCATTGTGTTGAGATAGTAACTAATTAACTGGTAACTTCAGCTGATAAATTCATCCAGAATATTACTTTTTTACAAGATTGCCCAAAAGTTAATGTTAGCACTATAGCATAAGCACAGAACTTCCTGTTAAAACAGAAAAATTAAAACCAAGTGACAACATAAATAAGTGGGTTGGATTATTCAGGCTTCCTCCTTTGACTATGAAACCAATTTGCCACATTGCTTAAGTTGTTCTTTTGCCAAAGAAGGAAAAGAAAGAAAAAAAAGGGGGGGCAAGCAGCCATTCATTTATATAAAAATGAAATCATCTGTGTCATGCATTTGTTATTTCCTCTTTTATTTTCTTGTTCAGCTACTCATTTTTTTCTGCTGGCAAAGATTGTGGATGTTCACAGTGAAACAGCTATGTGCTTCTCCTTAAATATAGCCCAGGCTCCAGTCTTTGACTTTCCTTTGGCCTAGGGGAAAAAAAATCTTACTGAAGTTATCGTGTTAGAGTACTACCAAGTAGTCCCCTCCTGCTTTACTGGGAGTCCCTACCCATTTCCTGGACCATCTCCTACACCTATACTCACCAGGGCAGGATGGCAAAGTCTGTACATAATAGCAGCCATGGTGGCAGGTCGCATGTGGCGGTTGTGCAGGTTGAAGTGGGAGATTCCTCCTACTTTAGCCATAGTGGCAACCATCCACAACATGCTGTGCAGGGGATCTGGGAGGAAGGAGTAAATATGACTTCAAAGAGTCATACCCCTACTAAACAACTCTTACTCACCACAATGACTGCAGGGGAGGGCTGCAGCCAAAAGAGGCCAATAGATGCTGGGCAGTACCCACCTTGTTGCATTATCTATTCAGTTGCTGAAAAAGCACAGCATCATGCAAATGACGACAAGGCATATGTTGGAATAAGATGGAAAATATCACTTCAGCTTTGGTTCAGAAAAACATAAAGGTAGTTGACCCCAACTCTGGGCTGGCAATGACAGGAACCCCTCTTGTGAAGGTATCCTTCAGGAACATTTTCCCAGGCATCCTTATGCTGAAGTTAATGGGACATGTGTAAGTGTGTCTTTTATGAACCACTCATAGTAAGAATACATCCATTTAAAGTCATACTCTTTCACTATATAAAATATATTCCTCTTATGTATCTATTAATTTGTGGAAAAAGAGAACATTTGTTTATCCTCCAATCTAAATCAGTAACCAACCATACATTGCATGCATAATGAACTGTTAAATTTGCAAACTAAAGCTTATTGTAGTATCTGGTAAAATATACATCCTATGGTAAACTAGTCTTACCGTCATATCTCTTGACACTTAAATTCTCTGAATGCATGATAGGAACCTGGAGCTCTCCAGATGTTGCTGAACTCCTCCTTTCAATTAGCCCCAGCCAGGATGTCCAATGGTAAGGCCTCATATTCCTGAGCTTGTTCCAATATTTTATTTTCCATTAGTAATGTGACTGCATTACTAGATTAAATGATTTCTAACAGCATGGACTGGGAGAAAGAATATAAATCAGAGGAAGAGTTTTGCTGGTTTCATACATTATACTAAGCCATAATGTGATTTGTTTGGTTTTCACTTTAACACATTATAGGCAGACTATAAGAGAGAATTGGAGAAATTTAATTTCAGCAGCAAAACTTAAAATTCCACTTGGTTTTGGCACTTAATCAATTGATCCTTTATAGATAGAGGTTTTAGCCCTTTCACAGAAATATCTGCAGATAAATGGGAGGATCACTTCTGTAACATCTTTAAAAGGGAATTTGCTGTAATCTCAGATGGGATTCTCTCTCGCAGTGTCCTCCCAGATTGGCCACCAGTGTCCATAGCTGAGGTTAAAGATCTTATTGCCCAATTAAAACCAGGTAAATCATCTGGAGGTGATTTCATCCCCCCAGAATTAATAAAAGAAAACAAAGATTGGTGGTTCTGGCCACTTTATTCACACATATTAATAACACAGGCCAATTTCTATCTGATTGGAATCAGGCTATTATTGTACCGTTACACAAAAATAAAGGAAATAGACTTGATCCCTACAATTTATAGACCTATTAGTTTATTAGACACAATAAGTAAACTTTATGCCAGATTTTTATATCTAGAATTAGTGGATTGGGTACAAAATGAAAATATCATTGCTGAAGAACAGGCTGGATTTAGAGGGGAACAATCAGCATTAGATCAATGTTTGGTTCTCCATCATTTGGCAGAAAAATATTCTGCGCCCCCTTGAGGTTCCCTTTTTGCAACTTTTGTTGATTTTAAGTCAACTTTTGACCTAATACCAAGACTGTGAGACAGTCCGAGATAGTCTA